TGGTTCTTTGGGTCCTGTTCCTTCCTCCAGCCTCTCTCTGCCAGGTTCCCTCCTCCAGCTCTGCAGCTGCAAATGCCGCTCGGATACCCCTAGCATTTCTTTTCTAGCCCAGCGTCCCCCGGCTCCAGGCTCATGGATGTGGACATCTGTGGGGTTCTGCCCAGCTCTCTCCCTGCATCTCAAACTCGGGAGCTCTGCCTTCCCTGCTTCACAGGCCTGCCTCCTGCCTGCGCCCCGAGTGAGCGGGGACCCACCTCTGCCTCGCTCCCCACATTCAGCCCACCAGAGCCTGTCGTCACACCCCGAAATCACCCACGGCTGCGTCAGCACCATTGCCTCTTACCTGGATCTCTGGCCCAGTCTCCCGACTCCTGCTTCCATCCCCGGCCCTCCATCCACCCTCCACACAGCCCAGAGTCACCCTTCAGAAGCCAAAATCAGCCAACTCCCCTCCTTAGATCATGCGAGTAATTTCTCAGTGTACTTCAAATAGAATCCGTTCCCCTCTGGCCTGTGACGCCTGTGCCATCTACCATTGCCCACCTCCCCTGCACTTCTCCTGCTGGCCAAACTCCAGCCACAAAAGGCCTTCTCCCAGAAATGTCCCAGTCTCGCCACCCTCAGGGTAATAACCAGTATTCCTGTCGGGGATTTGCCTTCCCTGCCTGCCATGCTTCTGCTGGCAGCACCATTTCCAGACTGGCCAGAGCAGCTTGTTCATCACTCTGCTATCACACACACTGCCTGCCTACCTTCATTTTATGGTGGACACGCCAAAATGGTCTCATCCATGGAATGTGCCAGAGGCAGCTTGTGTACCTCGCCAGCTGGGAGATACCACCCTGCAAGTGGGCTGTTGACGGGCAGGAGGCAGTATATGCTTTCGATCAGTGCTAACGTGTGGCTCCGCCTCTCTTAGGGCCAAAGTGCAGGCCCAGGGACCAAGGGGGGGATGTGGGAGTGGCTCCTCTCACCGTTATTCCGAATTACTGATGGGAGGAATTTTTGCTTTCTATCCCCTTGATTTTGTGTTCAGTGGGTCTGGAGTGCTTAATGCCCAAAGGAGGATCCTTCCTCCAGGGAACGGAAATGTGGTTCCTTTCAACTGGAAGTAGAGTGAGTGCTCCCCCTGGTTGTTTGGAGCTCGGCATGTTGCTTAACCAAAAGGCAGAGAAGGGGTCCCCTGTACCAGGTAGGGTGACCCGTGTGGATGACCAGAAGTGGGCTCCTGCTGCAGTGGGGGGTGGGCAGGAAGACCATGGCTGGAAGCCGGGGGACTCTCCCAGTCCTGTGTTGACAGCAGCAGGAGAGCTGGCAACGCAACGGAGACCAGTAAGAAGCCGAATTGGGTGGGAATAAAGGTTTAGGACACCCCGCCAGACTAAAAACCCCAATCAGCCAAAGCGCTGGCAGATGGTCAGAGGAATCCAGAAGTGGGGGTGGAGGAAGGATGCCATGGTGGCCAACTTAGGCCTTGTGACCAGCTGCAAAAGTAGGCGCTGTAGCAGTTTTCTGTTATGATTTGCACCCTCTGTGGTTTTATTTAAAGAGCCAAGGTGACGGGTAACGTTTTAAGTTGGACTCCAGGTAAGTGTAACTGAAGGAGGACAAGGATATAGTGCTGATGACACTTTGTGTGATGACGTTTTTTCTTCCATTAAAAAAATTGAGGTGAAATTCACCTAACATAAAACTGACCATCTTAAAACGAACACTTCATCCATGTTGAGGAGCACGGAGAAAAAAAATAAAGTGAACGCTTCGGTGGCATTTAGTGCATTCACGACGTGCGACCGTCACCACAATCTATTTCCAAAACTTTTCATCATCCCAAACAGAGATTCCTCAGCCATTAAGCAGTAGGGACACGAGTTTTTCATCCACAGGACAAGAGTGGATGTTGAGGGGCGACAGGAATGGCTCTGCTGGGATCTCCGTTTCCCCTCTGGGGCCACTCTCCGCCGCCCCTGCAGGGCTGACCTGCCCTGTGCACTCTGGAGGCACCGCTAGGGTGAGAGAAGTCAGAGTTCTTATCCCCGGGCTCCCTCTCTGGCAGGGCCTGTGTTCTGCTACCTATGGCCACGGCTCAGGCAGCAGCCCCCTTGTAGTGACAGCTCCTCCCTCTTTCCCTTTCAGGTCTAGGGGTTGCAATAGCTTCCTGTAGTGCGAGCCCCACTGGGTCCCATCCCTGGCAGCTTCCCAAAGCCCTGCCCACACCTCTGTAGCTAATCCCTCAGCGGAAGGCTCTCTGGTACCCCTTTGAGTATAGTTGGCCCTCTGGACCCTCAGGCTCTGCATCCACGGATTCAACCAACAACGGATTGAAAATATGTACAAAATACTATTAAAAATACAAATTATTATAAAAACCCCATACAGTATAATAACTATTTACATGACATATACATTGTATTAGGTATTATAAGTAATCTAGAGTTGATGTAAAGTATATGGGAGGCTGTGTGGAGGTTATATGCAAATACATTCATCTCTCAGCATTTGTGGGGGATTGGTTTCAGGAACCCCAAAGATACTAAAATCCAAGGAAGCTCAAGTCCCTTATATAAAATGGTGCAGCATTTGTATATGACTTGTGCACGCCCTCCTGCATACCTTAAATCATCTCTGGATTACTAACATCTAATACAATGTAAATACTTGTTATACTATTTGTATTATCTTTCGTTGTGTTTTTTTTTACTTTTCCAAATATTTTCTGACAAGGTCTCGCTCTGTTACTCAGGCTACAGTGCAGTGGTGTCATCATAGCTCACTGCAACCTCAAACTCCTGGCTCAAGCGATCCTCCTGCCTCAGCCTCCTGAGTAGCTGGGACTACACGTGTGTGCCATCATGCCTGGCTTATTTTTCTGTTTTTTGTAGAGACAATCTTGACATGTTGCCTAGGCTGGTTTCAGTCTTCCTGCTTCAGCCTCCCCAAGTGCTAGGATTACAGGCATGAGCCAATGTGCCTGGCCTTTTTCCTCACATATTTTCTTTCTTTCTTTTTTCTTTTTTTTGAGATGGAGTCTTGCTCTGTTGCCAGGGCTAGAGTACCATGGCATCAGCCTAGCTCACAGCAACTTCAAAATCTTGGGGTTGGCCGGGCACGGTGACTCACGCCTGTAATCCTAGCACTCTGGGAGGCCGAAGTGGGAGAATCGTTTGAGCTCAGGAGTTCAAGACCAGCCTGAGCAAGAGCGAGACCCCCTCTCTACTAAAAATAGAAAGAAATTAGCTGGACAACTAAAACTATATAGGAAAAATTAGCTGGGCATGGTGGCGTGTGCCTGTAGTCCCAGCTACTCGGGAGGCTGAGGCAGGAGGATCGCTTGAGCCCAGGAGTTTGAGGTTGCTGTGAGCTAGGCTGACTCCACGCACTCTAGCCCGGGCAACAGAGCCAGACTCTGTCTCAAAAAAAAAAATCCTGGGCTTAAGCCTCCTGCCTCAGCCTCCCCACTAGCTGGGAGCACAGGTGCGCCACCATGCCCAACTAATTTCTTTCTATTTTTAATAGAGACGGGGTCTCACTCTTGCTCAGGCTGGTCTCAAACTCCTGAGCTCAAGTGATCCTCCCACCTCAGCCTCCCAGAGTGCTAAGATTACAGGCGTGAGCCGCCACACCCGGCCTCCTCAAACATTTTCAGTCCACAGTTGGTTAAATCCATGGATATGGACTGCATGGATGTGGAGGGCTGACGGCTCTGCACCATTTTATGAGGAACTTGAGAACCCCAGGACTTTGGTATCCGTGGGAGTCCTGGAACCAATCCCCAGAATAATAGAGGGATAACTGTTGCATGCATTTCCTGTTGGGACACTGGTGGATACAGGAAAGGACAGTGTGGTATCTCACTGCAATCCTTTTGGCACTAACCACTTCAGAATTCGAGTCAAAGCGCCACACACGCGGGTCCCAGGTGGGCAGGAGAGCTTTCCTGGACAGCCCACGTTCGAAGGGCGCCTGGCCTGTGCGCCAAGGCCCCCCTGCCCTCTGGTGGTCAGCTCCAGGAAATGCACCTCAGGGGTCCAACTTCTGAACTCAGCCACTGTAGGTCGAGTAGCCCTTCCCCGAAAGTGCTCGGAAACAGAAGCATTTCAGATTTCGGAATATTTGCACATACACAATGAGATGCCTTGGGGAGGGGATCCAAGTCTAAACATGAAATCATTTATGTTTCATATACAGCTTACACTATAGCTTGAAGGTAATTTTATACAATATTTTACATGCTGGAGCTTACAAAGTTCTGGCTTTGGAGCATTCCAGATGGTGGATTTTCAGATTGGGCATGCTCAACCTGTACACACCTAAGCGTATCTCACCCAGGGGCTGCTATCCCCACTTTACAGGTGAGAACACAGGGCTTCAATGACTTCCCACTGCTCTCAGTATAAGACCAAAATCACAACCTTGGACCTCAAGGTCCCATCCTTGCCTCCTGCTGTCACTCTCTGACCTGGCCACCCCTACCTTTTCTCAGATCCCAGGGTGTCATGTGTGCAGCTCCCAATTAGTGTGTTTGGGAACTTTGAGACCTTCTCCACGTGGTTACCCTGGCTCATTTCTTAGTCCCGTCCTGGGATATCACTTACTCAGGGAAGTTCTCCGTGCCATCCCCTCCTCACCCTCTGCCTCTTATTCACCTCTCACAAACACACTGGGCTTTTCCAGCCTGCTGCACGGCTGATCGAGGCTGCTCTTCTCGCTGGGCTGAGGGCTCCTGAGTGGGAGAAGTGTCCTGCTTTGCTCGCTGCCGTGTCTTGGTGCCTGGCACGTGGGAACATCCACACCGGCAGCTCATAGCTACTAGCCGGTTCTGTGCCAGCCTTTGAGCTGAGTACTCCAGGCCCACAGGCCGCCCTCCTTCCTAAAGACCCTCGTCCCCAGGAAGTAGCTCTTGAGTCTATCAAAAACTCACATTGATTTATTAGAATATGAAAAAGATTCAGTTTCTTCTGTACAGGCGGCAGAGCGGCAGCAGCTGCGGTGGCTTTGTACATGGTTGTCGACGTCACCCTTGTATGGTGACTCCTGCTCAAAACAGCACTTGCATGGAGAGGGTGGACAGATGGCCAAGGACTCGTGGCCCAGTCCACTGGAAAGAGGGACGCTCTGACTATTGCACGATCCTGGGGAAGGGAGTGCCCTGGGGGGAGGACAAACACCAACAGGCCTGGCCACGGTGGGGCTAAGGGTGGGGAGTGCTTGTGAGCAAAGGCCACGGGGGCCCAGCATTCTGCCCAACCTACCAGCCCTGGCAACAAAAGATCCTCAGGGAAGGCCTCCTCTCCCAGGACTGGGCTCCCCGGTAGCTGGGTGTGGTGCACACGAGGGAGAGGTTCCAGGGGCCAACCCTGGGGTGGAGGAAGTAAGACCAGGCCAGCAGGAACTTAGGGTTAGGCCCAAGAGCCAGGCAGTTGCCAAGAGGCCCAGCGTCTGTGAGGTTGGAGAGAATCATGATTAGGGTTGGGGAGTCACTGCTGCAATCAGAGCCTTTGGGCACCACTTAAGAGCCCAGCAGGCAGAGGACTGACTGGAGGGGGCTGGACAGACAGGCATGAATGAGGAGGGGTAATTCTCTGGAGTGGGAGGAAGAAGATAGAGGGCAGAGCTCTCTTCGGCCAGGGGTTTTAAAACATTTTAAAAACAGGAGTGCCCTCTGTGCAGACAGAATCCTACATGGAAGCATGAACAGACAAGACATAAAAAGGCGGCACTTTCTGGAGCCCAGACAGTCCCTCCCCTGGCAGCAGCGCCTAAAGGGCCCAGTGGTCCCCGTAGGAGCACAGTTTGGAAAGCTGTCATGACACTTGTCTCTGCACAAAGCACCCCAGCTCCAGGCAGAGCAGCTCAGAGACGCTCTCAGACTGCAGCTCTGAGTGAGGACAGGTTGGAGTGGCCAGCCAGGGTGACAGAGCTGGCAGGAGTAGGGTGAGACCCCCATGGGTCACCGATCCCTCCCCCAAGCCACATGCCTGTGCTTCCCCTGATAAAGGAGGCCTCAGCGCCTTCCCTTCCTGGGTGGGACCACAGCTGAGCCAGAGCCTCTTTGGTTGGAAATCAGATTGGTCTGAACAGGGAGGTGATGGAGTGTAGGGGGGGCCTCTGAGGCCCTAGTCCAGGTATGGGGGGGCCTGGGCCTGGGGAAGGGGCAGGGCCTGCCTCACCAGCCCCAGCAGTTCTGCCAGTGGTTTGGGAGGCAGTTCTGGCAGGAGGATGCTTCCCAGGAGGCAGGGGAAGCCGTGCGGTGGGGGTTGGGGGAGTGTGGTGGCCTCTGGGCCCAGCTGCCATGCGGTGGGGGAGGGGCAGGGCGGATCCAGGTCAGGAAGGGTGAGGGGGGCCCCCAGCAGCCCCTGCTCTGGTGGGAGAGTCTGGTGGGACAGGCGCTGCCCGTGGCCCTGGTGCTACTGCCCCTTGGGGATGAACGGCTCTCCTTCCCCAGGCTCAGGGTGGGGGCCTGGGTCACTGAGGCAGCGCTGTATCCTCTGGGTGCTGGGGCTGTCACGTGGCCCAGGGGTGAAGACGTCGTCGGTGCCTGGGGATGAAGGCTCCTTGCTCCGCATCATGATGCCCCCGTCATCATCCTCATCTTCCTCAGCCACGCTTGCTGGATCCTGGCCCAGCCCCAAGACCTTGCCCTTCAGCTCCTCGTTCACCAGGTCCACAGACTCGGGCGACTGCGGGGAGGCTGGGTCGATGGTGATGACGGGCAAGTCTGCCTTCGGCTCGTAGGCCAGGGGGTCTGGGGACCAAGAGCAAGGCACAAGCTGGGTTCTGCTCCTGAGCCTGGCCCAGCATGTGTCACCTCAGCACCTCCCACAGGGCCTTCCCGTGAGCAAAGTCCTCAGACCTGTGTCTACACTGGCCTTCGTGACCCTCCATCCCAGAGAAGAGAAGAGCTTCTCTTCCCTCAGACGGGTCCTCTCCTCAGACCGTTGGTGTCCCTCCGCAGGTCAAGAATTAGGGTTCTTGCTGAGTCGCTGTGTGCCCAGTGCCCAGGCCGTGAGAAGGCCGCCCTTGTTTCCCGCGCGACTGCTGGAGATCCGGATAGTGCAGACCCCGCCTCCCTGCCAGGCGCCTGTCTGTTCCCAACTCCCTTCGCAGTCCTCCCTGGGGGCACCTCTGTCCCTGGGGATGGCAGCAGGGCCCTCTGCCCCCTTCTGTGAACCCTCAGCCACACCCGATCTGGAAGCAGCTCATGGCTTGGGGGGCCAGGGAGGGGTGGGTCTGTGCTCCCCAATGGCTCCCTGAGGCCTTCTCCTGTCAGAGCCTCATCCTCAGGGGCGGCAGCATGAGCGCCCAGCCCCACGGCCCTTCGCCAGGCCCTCACCTGAGCCGATGCGGGCCCGCGACATGGTGGGAGAGTCCAGCTTGTGGGCCGGCACCGTCAGGTAGTTGTTCATCTGACAGAGAGAGCAGCGGTGAGCGCGGGCAGCTGGGCAGAGGGAGCCCTCTGGACGGGGCCCAGGGCCAGTGCGCCCCCCTCGGTGTGCTCACCCCCTCTTCCCCGTGCCTGTGCCGGCACCCACACTGGCCCTTCAGGGGGTGGGCTCGTCCCAGGCTCTCGTCAAGCCAGCAACCTCCCTAGGCAGCTCTGAACACCCCTACGCTGCCCCAGCCTCTAGCTCTAGCCCACACCTGCCCCGAGGCTCAGACCCTTAAAGCCAGCTCGGGAGTGGACAGCCTGGACCCCCGATGGCCCCAAGTAGCTCAAATCAAACACCTTGAAACTGAGCTCAGCTCCTTACCTTCCCTTGAAAGCTTGTTCCCTCCCAACCAGCCCAGCCAGAGGCCCAGAGGTGGCCCTGACTCCTTTTCCTCTTCTCTCAGCCCACCTCAAACTGACGACCAAGTCTTGCTAGTTCCACCTGCTCAAAGTCCCTCACCCGCTCCTCTGCATCTTCCTGCCACTGCCCCAATCCAGGCCACCGCCACCCCACCCCCGTCACTCCCTTGCTTAGGCCAAGGGTTCATGGCTCTCCACGCCCCTGGGATCAAGCCCAAACTCTCTCAGTTTCTAGAACAGGCGCATTTCCTCAGAGGGGCACAGCAGAGCATTGTGGGTGGGGTGTGGGCAGAACAACCCAGATTCCTAGGGAAAGGCAGGGGCCACCTTCTGCTCCAGCTGCCGGGCCTTCTGTCTCCGGAGTAGCATCTGGTTCCAGGCCTCTTCATAGGGGTCTGCCACCAGCGTGTGTCTGTTGTAGGACCGCAGCTGTGGGAGGAACAGCCATCAGGACGGGCCCCGGAAGCTGGGTCTGGGAGGCTCTGGCCGTGCATGTGGGGCAGGACTGGGGACAGTGCTAGAGGCTGGGCCAGGGCTCCGGAGCGCCAAGCTGAGGGGCACGTGCAGGGCAGGGCCGCCATGGAGAGACACAGTGGGCGCTTCTGCTGCGGGGCGCTGGGCCGGGAGCAGGCTCTCACCCGCTGCCTGGTCTTCTGCAAGTTGTTCCTCAGGATTTTGCGGATCTCCTCTTCCTTATCCTTGGACAACGCCGGCAGGATGCGCTCAGATGGCAGGGATTTGGGATGGATGTTCCTGGGACAACAGGGCACAGACTGGGTCCGCGAAAAAATTCTTGCGATTCTGGAGCCTGCTGGGCTGGGCCAGGAGGTCCCCCTGGGGATGGCCCAGGTGGGTGTGGCCCCGCAGCTCCCTCCCCACCTGACCGGACAACGGAGTGCTCCCCCACCCCCCAGGTGGCCTGCAACCAGTAGGGGCTGCAGGGTGAGGGTGTCGCCGCGGGCACTCACTGCATGGAGACGGTGGAGACAGCAGAGGGGATCTTGCCCATGCCCCCGCTCTCCACCAGCTCAATGGCCTGCTTCATCTCCATCTTGTGGTAGAAGGCGATGAGCTGGGGCTCCTTGGAGCGCTCGCCGGCTATCAGACACTTCTTCACGTACTTCTTATTAAACCGGTTGATTCTGGTGGGAGGACAGAGACAGATGGAGCCAGCTCCCAGGGGTGGGGAGACGCCCAGGCCCTGACACCCTCGCCTGCTCCTCCCTGCCCACCTGCCCACCCACCAGGCCTGCCACCTACTTGTCCTTCCAGTGGTGGTGGCCATAGTGGCCACAGATGTCCTCGATGCCTGTCAGAAGGTGGTCCAGGAACTGAAATGGGCCCAGGGCCAGGTCAAGGCTCACTACCGGGCACTTTCCTTCCCAAAACCTCCCAACAGCCTCTCCCTGCCACTTCCTTGCGAGCTGCAGCTCTGCTCAGCCCTGCCCTGCAGTCCCAGAAGTGGCCAGGAGGTGGCGCCAACACCTCACTCATCCTGAACGCCAACTCTGGGTGTCCCAAACCCTCTGCCCTTAGTGTCCGGCTGAGCCCCCTTCGACTATGCCCAATGCCTGGGATAGGTTCCCACTAGAGGCAGAGATGGCATGATGCCCCCTCAGGCTCCCAGCTGCTCACACAACACGTTCCCTATGGCCAGACCCTGGCAGCCTCAAGGGGCTGAGGGACGAGTCCAGCACTGGTGTAAGGGAGGAGGGCAGAGACGTGAGGCCCAGTTGCCCCCCAGCTCCCTGAGCCTTCTCCTGTACCCCAGGGCCCAGCCCCAGCTCCCGGTACCTGTGTGTGGATCTCCTCGTTGATGGAGCGCTTCGTTTCTTGCTTTTTCTTCACAGCCAGTAGGTCTACCAGGGGCCGAATGGTCATGCCCTGGGGGAGCAGGTGGGTGTCAGGCACTCCAGCTCTGCAACCCAGGCAGGGAGGCCCCTGAGGCTAGGATGCTCTCTCTGCTCTGCCCTCTCCCAGGACCAAAGTGCTGGAACTCCCCAGCCTCCACCGCACTCATGCGGGCTCCACTGCAGACTCGCTCTGCACACCCAGGGCCTGGCGTGCAGGGAGAATCAGCTCTGCTCTGTCTGCCTCCCAGGACTGCAGAGGACCTCGTGATGACCGCAGTGGCTAATTTAACTGCACACTTGCCCTGGACAGACGGGTTTCAGGTGTTGTATTAGTATTAGCTCTTTAATACCCACAACAGCCCTAAGACGTAGATCCTTTCCTCGCCCTTTTACAGATGAGGAAACTGAGGTTAAGCAACTTTCCGAGGTCCCACAGAAGTAGGAGAGCCAAGATTCAAACCCAGGCAGGCTAGCTCCATAGGCAGGTCCCCATCCCAATGCTGCCTTCAATGAAAATGGGCTTGGAAGACCATTAGCACGTAAAACTGCAAAGTCAAGGTGAAAAAAGTATTTTTGACAGCGGAAGCAGGGCAGGAGGACAAAAGAAGCAGCCCCTTCTTTCAAAGGACAGAAAATAGCCCAGCCACAGGAGGTTTCCCTATCTTTTTTTCTCATGAAAAGGCAAAGATGTGTCCCATCTAGGGCTCTGCAAGGATTAGTGACCAGAAAGACAGAGGGATGGTCCAGAACTGGAGGCCCCGACAGTGTTTCTCACTTCCAAGGCCATACAGAGGCAAGGCAGAGCTGGGCTTCCTTGGGGACATGGGATGGGAGTGGCAGGGGGCTCTCAGCTGAGCCTGGGTCATTTAAATGTGCAGAAATCACTGATCAGCAGGCTGGATTCTTGGGGATCATCTTGCCCAGTCCCCTTACTTCACAGAAGGTGGGTCACAAGGACACAGCAGCAGAGCTTGGCCTGACTGCAAGACCCTCCAGTTCCCCATGCAGTGCTATTGTTCCCATTTTACAGACACAGTAACTGAGATCCTAAGATAGGAAATCTCTTGTGTAAAGCCCTACGACAAGTTGGTGGCAAAGGCAGATCTCGGGGCCTGCTGACTGTACCCGCTTCTCTTAATGCTATTTGGGCTCCTAATTAAATTGGGCAGCACTCTGGCTACTTTACATTCTGATCAGTCACTTCACAATGACTCATTATCATAATTCTCACTTTACAATTGGGGAAACTGAGGCCCAGAAAGGGGGAGTGGCTTTCCCAAGGTCATGCAGCAAGTTAGCAGTGGAGCTGAGACTAGAACCCATGGCCCCATTTCGAGCCACATGCTTTCCTCTCCACTGGAACAGCATCAGGGTCCCCAAGGGAAGGACCTGCACTGCCCTCGTCCAGCACCTGCACAAAGACAGTGAAGAAGATGACGGTGATGATGGCGGTCAGGAACAAGTCACACATGGGGAAGTGCTTCTTGTCCAGGAGGTAGCCCAGGGAGAAGGCGATGGCCCCTCGCAGGCCCCCGTAGGCGATGATGAACTGGTCCTTGGGGGTCAGCTTCACGATGCGGAACTTGTTGATGAACCAGGTCAGGCCCAGCACACCTGCCGAGGAGGGGATGGGGGAGGGTCAGGTCAGGCTGTCCCCAGCCCCTCCTGGCTTCTCTGCACTGATGACTTCTCTGAGTATCCAGGAAGCTTTCACTACTAAGCCCACCCAGCTCATCCATATCCTGGGTCCCTCAGCCTAGGGCGCTCAAAATCCCTCAATCCAAGAGCTGAGTGGACCCTTAAGGGGGTTCCACAACCTGGATGTGCTTTAGAGACGTCACAGAGGCCTCCAGTGGCCGAAGAATAGGAGGGTGGAGGGAGAAGAGATGAAACAAGACTGATCACAAGCTGATACTTCTTAAATATGATGGGTACCCGGGGGATCATTATCCTTTTCTCTCTACTTTTCCATGGATTTGAAAATTTCCATAATAAAACATTAAAAAATGCAGGCCGGGCACAATGGCTCACACCTGTAATCCTAGCAACTTGGGAGGCTGAGGTGGGAGGATGGCTTGAGCCCAGGAGTTCAAGGCTGCAGTGAGCTATAATTGTGCCCACTGCACTCCAGCCTGGGCAGCAGAGCAAGAACCTGTCTCTAAAAAAATTCTTTAATGAAAAATTTAAAAATGAATGAATGAATGAATGAATGACGGCAGAGGGCTGGGTCCAACCTTAACAGAACCCGAACCCCTGGGGGTTGAGGTCAGGAATAATAAAGAGGATTTTAGAAAGTGCACCAAGTTGATGTGACGCCCAGCTAGGCTCGGGGACCACAGACCTAACATTCACTTCAGAAAGGCGCCATCATGGAGCCAGCACCGCAGAGGAGGAATGGGAAGCCCCCGTGTCCAGCCGTGCTGGGGCAGCCAGGAGCCAAGCAGCGCCCCTCCAGCACCCAGTGCAGCACAGCCCCCGCAGCCCGGTCCTCCACACAACGGCCTACACACGCGCACACATGCAGTCCCCACCAGCCCTGGCCTGGTCCTCACCCAGCACGCGGGCGATGAGGCAGAAGAGCAGGGTGCTGATGACGAAGGTCCAGTTCCAGTGGTGGGAGCCGGCCACGGTGGAGACGCCAAGGAAGATGAAGATGAGGGTCTCACTGACGCTGCTCCACATCTTCAGGAAATATTTGATAGTAGTGTGGGACTTGTGGGAGATGTTGGCCTCCACGTAGGGCCGCATCACCACTCCCGAGGCGATGAGTCTGGGGTCGGGAAGAGGGGGAATCAGGGCTCAGCGCATTGCTGGGGGCTGAGAGCGCTCGATGAAGGTGCCCGCACGGAGCCTGTGGGTTGGACGCCCACAGTGTGCTTTACGCACCTATGCCCACTCAATGCTCGCATCAACCCTGCGGGCACGGCGTACTCTTGCTTTTCTCAGATGAGAGATCTGACTCTAGGAGAAATAAAGTCACCTGCCCACTGTCACACTGCGATTGGCAGAGCACAGATGTATACTATGGTTTGTCCAGCTGCAAGGCCTGTGCCTTCACTCCAAGGCCATGCTGCCTTTCTGCCCAATGGGAACCAGTGACATGTCCATGGCCTCTTGGGTTTATTCCCCCCGAGTGTGGCATCCCCCAGTGCCCAGAGGTCCCGACAGGGGGGTTTGTTCCAAGCAGCAGCCCAAGTCTTCGCAGCCCAGCACCCACACTGGGGCTCCACTCCTGCCAGCCTGGCTTCCTCACTGTTGCCCTGGAGCCCCTACTTCTGCCCTGCCTCTGCGCTTCCAATGTCCTCCTCTGTTGGGAACACCCTCGCACCTCGCTGCCTCACTACGTCCACTTCCCCCACTTCAAGACCCAGCGGAGGGCGCGGGACCTCCAGGACTCAGGCCTGGTGAGCCTTGCTTCGACAGAAGCCTCATGGCCCCCCACTGGGGCTGCTGAGGGAGGAGTGATGAGCACCTGTGCCCAGCAATGACCATGGGACTTCCTTTGAGACAACTGAGACTTTCACAAACTTTAAGCTTAGTGGCTTCCAAATTCTAAGAGTAGCCCCGGGTTCTGCCCTCCCACGCCCTGGGCTTGCCCTAACTCAGGTCACTCTTGCCGCATCTGCTCACAGACAGAAATGCTCTACCCAGATGCCTGGATCCCACAAAGCCCAGAAGCGCACCCCTTCTAGGACACCTCTGATGACCCTGGCCATTTAAATGGCTACCAAGCAGGTCTGGTGCCTGGAGCTCATGTCTCATTCCTGGAGCTGGAGGCTGGGCCCTGGGGAGCTCCATGACCCTATGAGCCTGGCGAATCCAAGCTGGCGGCCCCCCACCAAGCCTGCCACACTCAGACTCACGCCATGATGCCCGACAGGTGGAAGAGTTCGGCTGACAGGTAGGCCATGTAGCTGTAGAGGAAGACGAAGAGCGGCTCGATGACGCGGATGTGGGAGGTAAATCGGGAGGTGAAGGCTGCGATGACCCCGTAGACCACGCCCACAAACACCCCGCCCAGGGCCACCACGAAGAAGCTCAGGAAGCCGAGGACGATGTCCACGATGCCCACATGGTCATAGCTGGCAAACTCCTCAAAGAGGTGATACAGGACCTGGGGAGGGTGTGCAGTCTAGTGGGTGGGAGGGCAGGGGCCTCGCCATGGCTCCCTGGGGTCTACCCAGAGTGACCCTGTCCGCTCCATTGACCACAGCCACAAAAAGAGGCCACATGGAAGCAGAGAAACCCTAGTGCCAAGCAGTGCTCAAAACCACGGCCTGGGGCTGGAAGGGCTTTTGTGGGCCTGTGGCCTGCCACCTGTGAGGGGATAGACCCTGAAGCCAAACTGTACAGGCTGGAAGCCTGGCTCTGCCGTCCCTGAGCTGTATGCGGAGGGCAAATCATGCAATCTCCCTGTGCTTCAGTTCCCCATCCATAAAGTGAGGATAATAACAGTACCAACTTTATAGCACTGTTGTGAGGATTAAATTAGTTAATAAAGTGCTCAGAACCTCGCCTGATGCAGTATCAGCTGCTACTGGTGTTATTAACTATGCCTCTCTCACTGTTTGACTTTGGACACATCACGCCCATCTCTGAGTTCCAGTCTGTCCTTCAGACCATGCACTGGAAGGTGATTTCTTAACCTCTGAAGCTTTCTGAAAATACGCAAGGCCAAGCCATACAGGATTCTCTGGGGTGGGGCCCAGAAATCTCTATTTCACAAGCTCCCCAGGTGATTGTAATGAACAGCCAAGTTCAGATGCTATAGAACAGGAGGCTCTCTGAGACTTCCCCATCTCCTGGACTGGAAACAGACGGTCACTGTAACACTATGGTCAGGTGTTTAAGTGGCATTTCACACACTGTAAAGCCCTTTGACGATCTCAGTAGAACTGGGCCCAGAATCTGTTCCCTGTTGGCCATGGGCTGGGGCCGCCCCAGCAGGCTGAGCTTTGAGGTCTTGCCTCCTCCCAGCAGCGGCTCCCTGGCTGCCTGGCCTATGTAGTCCAGTCTTAGACAGCTCTGCCGGGAACCAGTGGGAAGTTTCTAGGCCTGGGGGGAGGGAGGAGAAGACTCGGGTACAGGGAACCTTCCAAAGCCCCCAGGACCTAGAGGCAGGGGGAATGGGGTACAAGAGGGGACCGGCTCTAGGGCATAGACCTGACACCAGGCAGCTCAGGGGCACCCACACCCATGCCCCCAGCTACACCACTTATCAGGCTAACGTATCCTCTCAGTGCCTCAGTTTCCTCATCTCAAAAAACCGGTATAATAACAATGCCAACCTCATGGAGTCGCTGTGGGGATCAGATGAGGGGATGCACATTCAGACAGGAAGCACCTGACGAACGCCACAGTCACAACCACCACCTTCAGGTGGCACGGCTGCGGGTCCAAAGTGGCTGGATCCAAGTTACCCGCTTGACACAACCACGTCCCACTGCTCCCCAGCAGTGCCAACCTGAACCGCAACACCCAGACCCTACTGGGGAGGGTTTTGTCTTTGGCCCCCACTGGTTTCAAAGACATCAGTGAATGTAACTCCTGTAGGAGCCCTGGGAGGATGACAGGCTGGGTACTGCAATCCTGTGTCACAGGTGGGGAAACTGAGGCTTATACAGTAACCCTGGGCAAGAGCTGGTGCTAGAAGAGACCGGGACAGAGGCCTGCCTGCTCGGGCTAGGCTGCAGCTCTACCCGACCCCATGAGGAGCTGGCAAGGGGGGGCAGGAGAGGGAGAGGAAATAGGTTGCTGGCAGCTGAACACCACGGTGTCTCCACTCTGAGATGTTGCTTCCCGAGGGGCAGTGGATGCAGGAGTGCGTGTGTGAGCGTGCTGCGTGCCCTCTGCTTTCCTATGCGTGCTGTCTCTGAGGGGGCCAGCTTAGGAAGGGGCAGGGGTGTCCTCACCACACATCATGTGTGCATGTGCACATATCTGTCTCCCAAGGAAAGTAGCAGGGAGGAAAGGCTTGTGCAGAGTCTGCGCTGGGGGTGTCTGTCCTCTGCTCACTAGACCCTTGGAGGAAAGCACTAATACTCTGCCACTTTGCAGATGTCAAAGGTGAGGACCAGGCCGGGCGCAGTGGCTTACACGTGTAATCCTAGCACTTTGAGAGGCCAAGGTGGGAGGATCACTCAAGGTCAGGAGTTCAAGACCAGCCTGAGCAAGAGCAAGACCCTGTCTCTACTAAAAATAGAAAGAAATTATCTGGACAACTAAAAATATATATAGAAAAAATTAGCTAGGCATGGTGGCGCATGCCTGTAGTCCCAGCTACTTGGGAGGCTGAGGCAGGAGGATCGCTTGAGCCCAGGAGTTTGAGGTTGCAGTGAGATAGGCTGACGCCACGGCACTCTAGCCTGGGCAACAGAGTGAGACTCTTGTCTCAAAAAAAAAAAAAAAAAGGTGAGGACCAGTGAGATACAGTCACTTGCTTACAGTCACACAGCAAGTTGTCAACGCAGGCCAACCCATTTTACTTATTACCTTCTGGAGGTTTTAGGGGCAAGACCCTTTTCCATAATCTGCACCTTAAAACTCTGGGCAAACAAATTCTAACTTAGGACAGAATCAACATGAGAGCCGAAAGGTGCCTCAGAGTAAACGGTCTGTAAAGAGGAAACTGAGGCACAAAGAAGACAAGTAATTTGCTCAAGATCACATCAAAATGCAAGTCAAGGAGGGAGCCTATGACCTGGTAGAGCCAAGAGCTCAAGCCCTAGAGTCAGACACACCTGGTTCATTCATAAATTGGTTCTATCACATTCTAGCAAGTTATCATGACTTCTTTAGGCCTGTTTCTCCCTGTGGAAAATGCGAATAATAAGCACCTCCCGAGGCTGTCGTGAGGATTAAATGAGATAATCCACGTCAAAGGGCTCAGCGTGGCGCCTGGCACACAGCGAGCAGGAACGGGAAGAGCTGCTTTTGTTACTGTTAGTGGTGGGCGGATGAGGGATTCACTGCTGGACCTGCATTCGGGTCTGTGCTGCGTGCATGTGGGCGCGGCCCCGGCCCCCTCACCACAGTGACGGCGTCATTGAGCAGGGACTCCCCAAAGACGAGGATATGCAGCAGCTCGTTGATGTGAATTTCCTCGAAGACAGCCAGGACGGCCACGGGGTCCACGGCCGAGATGATGCTGCCGAAGAGCAGGTTGTCCAGGAGGCCGATGTTGTTGATCTGCTCGCCGCCCACCAGGCACACGGCGTACATGAGGCCACCCAGGAAGAAGGCGTTCCACAGCGTGCCTACCACCGCGAAGATCAGGATGGTGCCCAGGTTCTCTGTGAACTGCCGCAGCGGCAGGAAGTAGCCCGCGTCCAGGATGATGGGCGGCAGCAGGAAGAGGAAGAAGACGTCCGACTGCAGGAAGGGGGGCGTCTCGCCCACGCCCTTGATCAGGCCCCCCACCAGCAGCCCCACCACGATCAGCAGGCAGCTCTCTGGGACGATGCTCGAGATCGTGGGGATCACATGGAAACCTGCGGAGGGCGAGAGAACGGGAGGCCATGGGCTTTTGGGGGAGCCAAGAGAACAGGAGGTTGAGGACAGGGCCGGGGACGAGGAACACAGCTGGCAAGAGGTGCACAGGCTTGGTCTCAGAGGGCCGCTCTGTTAACTCTCTGAGCCTCCACTTCCCCGCCTGTAAAATGGAAGGGATAACACCAGCTTCACGGGGTTGTCGCAGAAACTAAGTGGCAATGTTTTCAAAGTGCTTTTTTCATAGGATATACACGTGCTATCCCTGTCACTGCCATAAAACATTAGAAAGCAGTTCTGTATGCCTCCAGAAGGCAGAAATTATAAGCTGATTATTGAGGCACCAGGTACCTAAGGGCATCACCTACGCCTGAATCCGTGGCATCTTTCCAGGCACAAGTTTGGGAGGCAGATCTGGGCTGAACACAAGGAATAACAATCTAACAATTCTATCTGAGGGAAGAAGGAGAGGTCCCTATTACGGAGGTGTTTAAGCAGAAGACAGACAACTAGCGGGTAGGAAAGCAACACAGGAGACAGAAGAAAGCACAGAAGAATCAAAGAATAGCAGCACAGGAAGGAACTTGGAGATAACAAGGCCTGGGGTCTGCAAACCTGCAGAACGCTCGCGGCGACTTCCAGCCCCAGACATCTCTAAATAATCACAGCGAGTGTTCATGCTGAGCCAGACGGCTGCTCAAGACAGGGCTCTAAGACATCAACAGCAACCGATCAGTTTTGGCATGTGAGATAAAACCTATTTGCCAGATTATTTCCCACCCAATGCCACCCACTTTAGAGAGGGGGTGACCGAGGCTCAGAAAGGCAAAATGACTTGCCCAAAGTTACACAGCAAGTTAGTAGCAGAACCAGGCTAGAACCCAGGTCTGACCCCCCAGCTCCCATCAAACTCCACAGTTCTGTAACACAAGCTCTCCAGCCTTCCTCCCCATCATGGCATCCATGTGCCCCTCTGCCTGACACCCACCAACCATCTCCTCAAGCCATGTCCTGGCCAGCAGCAGCCGGCCACTCTCTGCTGTGGCCCACCTTAGGGCTGCAAACCCAGAGCCGAGAGGTAGCAAAAATCCCCACCAGAGAGGGCCTCTCTCAATACCAGGCTTGGCCACAGAGCCCCAAGTTCCCTGTGCATTGTTTTTTTGTTTGTTTGGTTTTGGATGGGGAGGTGGATGGAGAAGACCAGAGTATGGAGCTGCATGTTGGGTGCCATAACCCCCAGGGTCAGCTTGGCCAAGAGGTGTGACCCTTTGCTCAAGGTGAAAGCTCTCCCTCCTCCCCTCCCTAGCCTGTAAGCTCCGTGCAGGCAGGTTCCACGTCTGTTTATCGCTGTATGCCCAGGGCTGAGGATGTAGCAAGTCTTCAACAAATATCTGCTGACTTGAACACACACAGGGAAGGGACAGTACCCACACGATTCTCGGTAACCCATCTGGCCAGGCCCCTGCTCCTCCTACCCCTGAGATCCTTGGGAAGGAGGAGGAACTTCTCTCCCCACACCCAAAGTCCCCCCTACTCTCAGGTACTGATCTGGGCAGTGTTAACACAGCTACAAGTCAAGACTCACACTGCGAACGCCATCGGGGCCCAGAACCCTGGCACAGTGCCAAATACTAAGGAGACACTCAAAACATGTCAGAAAAAACATGTCCATCCTAGGCCCGGAGAGGACCTCAGAGCCACCATGTGCATTCTCCTAACTTCAAAACAGACCTGACCAAAAGTCACCTCTTCTGCTGAAAAGTCCCCCAGTGTTTGCAGTGCCCACCAGTAACACCCAGCGTGCAGCCGGCTGCTACACTGGGAAGGGCTAGGTCATGTTGAGTCCAAGCCTCTCTTGCTATATAGGATAAAGCCCAGACTTTCAGCACTGCCTCTGTCATCTGGTCTTGCCTCACGTCCCACTCTCCCCACAGTCTCTTCGGCGTCACCTTGCCAAATTCCTTGTAACTGCCCCACGTGAGTCACATCCTCGTTTGCCTGCCGGCCTTCACCTAGTCCATTTCCTCTCTCTGGAACACCATTTCTCTACCTCTACCCCACTGTGCGCGGCTGACACCATCTCCTTCTGCCTGCCTCCTCAGTGTTCCCCGACCACCCAGGCTGCCCAGGTTAGGGCAGGAGTCCTTCTCTGGCGCCTCCCTCTCCCATAACCTTCGATCCGCAGTCATCGTCCAGGTCTTCTCTCCCTGGCACCCACTGAGGTCAGCCGGACAACCTAGGCGGAAGCAGCCAAGACAGGACAATAGCACCGTACCCCAGAGACCTACATTGTGCTGGGGAGGAGACAGGCAGGTGTGGGGGCTTAGGGGGCTCCTGTAGGCACAAGCCAGAAAGCAGCTTCCCAAGGCCAGAAGTCCAGCTCCAGCCAGCTGACCCCCACCAACACCTCCCCGTGCGGCTTCTCCCTCTACCTAGGAGGTGAGGCCCTAAAAATGCCTTCCACCGCTCTGTGCCATCAGCCCAATCCACAGAGCTTTCCTGGCCCCATGACACAAGACAGTGCCCTGGAGACCCAGGGATGAGTGGGCCACAGTAATTCCTGGGGAGGGGGAAGGTGTGTGAAGCAAGCCAAGGGCAATAACTTGAAGAATGTGCATCATTTCTGAAGGCGTGCCAGGAGCCTGGCACATGCCATCTCATTCAGTCCTCACGACAGCCCTGTGGGGTACGTATTGTCCCCATTTTGCAGAAGACAAAGCTGAGGCTCAGCAAGGTTGGGCAGTGTCCCCAGAGCCTAAGGGAGGAGCTCTGCTCTAGCTTAGGGTGTCTCAAGCTGTCTGCTCAAGCCACACGGTCTCCTCCTCCAGTCCTGTCGGAGCAAGAAGGTGTGGAATTCCGCACCTCCAAGCCAGGGGCCAAACCCTCTGACCCGGTTCAGGGCCACTGCTCTTTTAGAAGAGGCTGGGGGAAGAGAGAGGTGTTTCGCATTCCGGCAGGCACAGGTGGTAGCTGAGAACTGATTAATCCTTTACTCAAAGGTCAGTATCAGTCGGGCGTGGTGGCTCACGCCTGTAATCCTAGCACTCTGGGAGGCCGAGGGGGAAGAATAGCTTCAGCTCAGGAGTTCCAGACCAGCCTGAGCAAGAGCGAGACCCCATCTCTACTCAAAATAGACAAATTAGCTGGCGTGATAGCATGTGCCTATAGTCCCAGCTACTCGGGAGGCTGAGGCAGGAGGATCCCTTGAGCCCAGGAGTTTGAGATTGCTGTGAGCTGCGAAGACACCACTGCGCTCTACCCAGGATGACAGAGTAAGACTCTGTCTCAGGAAAAAAAAAAAAAAAAAAAGGTCAGTATCTTCTCTGAACCAGGCCATGCTGGGCACTGGGGCTGACTTCAAGCCTCTGGGAGGAGCTCACAGGATGGCCACGCATTTCTGGACCTCGGGACCCTCATCACTAGGTGAAGTGACAGCTGGCTTTCCTACTGGGTAGCTGAAAAACTGGAGCTCTGAGAGGAGGCAGGACGCGCCCAGCCAGGCCACGCAGCACTAGGTCCTGGGCCTCCCGACTGCAGTGCGGCGCACTTTCTCCTACACGAGCCAGCTCCCAGATCAGCTCCCGAGCTGATCTCCCAGGCTTTCCTGCTCTGCCTCTCAGGCAGCAGGAGATCCGGGCCCGAGGGCTCTCTGGGCTGAAGGGGAGGGCCTGGCCAGGCTGAGGAGGAAGGTCTGAGAGCCACTCTTGGCTCTTTGCCCATGGGTAGGCGGCACACGGCACATTACTGGAAAGCTCTTCCAGGGCTGGGGGAGGGGGTGGATTTTGTCATCAGGAGGAGGCGCCTGAAGGCACAGCAGCTCAGGGAAGGAGGGGCAGCCGTGGGCCTGTTCCGGCTTGTCCCTCTCCAAGGCGCTGACTCTACCAATTGTCCCCACCCCACATCCCTGAGGAGTCCCTTCAAAGTGCAGGAAGCTTGCTGACACCAGGTGTGGTGAAAGGGGCAAGGAAGAATGGTTGGGGCCCCTGGCACCCTGGCAAAGGCTCAGCATTGAGGCAAGACCCCAGCAGGTCAAGAAATGAGGCAAAACTCCCAGGGCCCGAACTTGCAGCAGTGGTGATGTCACCAGGACGGAATCGGGGTGGGACAGAGGCAGCTGGGATCAATCCAGAGACATGAGAGCTGGAATGGACCTTGGAGAGCATCTAAATTCTCCATTACACAGATAGGGAAGCGGAGCCTCGAGGAGCGCCCGTGACCTGCCGGTGGTCACATGACCAGTTCCAACATGCCAGCCCATGACGCTCCAAGTTCAGTGGCCTGCTTGAGCCACACGGCCTTGGAGGGCATCCAGTCCTGTCAGAGCAATCAGGCAAGAAGGTGTGGAATTCGGCGTCTCCGAGCTTCAGGCCGAGTTCTGTGGTGTGATTCAGGGCCGGCTGCCCTTTTAGGAGAAGAGGCTGGGGGAAGGGAAAGGTGTTTCTCATTCTATCCTGAGTAGGTGGCAGCTGGAAAACACACACACACACACACACACACACGCACACGCACACGCACATGCACACACACACACACACACACACACACGCAGTGGCATGCTGAGCAGACATGTCACCAAACTCCGAATTGGTAGGGGGCTCTAAGCCCCTAGGTGGCTGCTCTGCCCTCTACCCTGAGAATGTTTTATTTACGTCTCCTCAACTGTCCCCATCTGCTGAGAGACTGGTGCACTGGAACAGGCAAGGCTGTCCCACGTCACCCTGGGTTGCCAGAGTGACTGGATACCCCTGATCCCACTTCTTCCCCTGGCTTGGGAAGTTGGAGGGGAGTGCTGGAAAGAGGGGCATCCTGGGCCCACCAGTGCCGGGTCACCAGGGACCCAGGGGCACGCTGGGGGCTCTGCCGTCCTACTTCCAGGCCTGAGGACTGCTCTGGGGCTGCAACTCGGCCAGCTCCCAAGGGATTCCTAGTTGCACAACGATTCCATTTCTTTAACTCCCTCTTCAACTGCCCCAGCAACCAGTCTCAACTACAGCAATGAAAG